TTTTCCCATTTTAGATTAATAATACATTTAATATACAATAAATTCCTAAGAATGAAAAGTCATAGTAATTAAGAGGTTAAGAATGTGACTCTGAACTTGTTTGTAACATAATAGGAGAAATATTTGTACATCAATACACAAATAATGAACATTTATCATTAAAAATGAAAATTTAATGAAAAGACAACTAGGATTAAAGTTATTGACACAATTATTTTTATAAAATAAGTTAAATAGAAAGAGAAAAAAAAAATCAAATTAAAGAGATGATACTTCACTTTTTTTAGTGCCAGAAATTATTATATAGATAAATATAAACTTTTAAAGATCACTTTTTCCCCCAGAAAAATCAACAAACTATTTACTGATTTACTCTATTTTGTTTCTCAACTAATAGGCCTATAAAATAAGAATAATTTAAATCGAAAAGCAATTTAAAGAGATAATATTTTTAGATGCCTTTCCATTTAAATTGAGCAATAAATGTGGAGAGTTATAATATATTGTTGGAGTGATTTTAATTTTCAGTAATATTTCAAGGGGTTTATAAGAAAAAAAGTTAAAAATTTGATAAAAACATAAATACAGTTAGTTTTAAAAATAATATTTTAAAAATTTAACATATGATCATTATAATATTTAAAAAAGTGTGGTAGGATTTTGGAAAAGATAAAAAAAAATTAACTTTTGAAAGGTATAAGTATACAAGTTTCATTACTTCAATCTAAAATCATTTGGCTCGCAAAATTCTTATTATTCATAAATGAAGCAAAAATCATGTCATGAAAAAATTAATTAATTTATTTCTTTTTCTTTTTTTATATTTACCCACTTCAAAAATTGTTTTCTTACTTGAATAATTAAATTCATTCTACTTCACTTTTTACTAATCATATTTTTTTAACTTATCATATGAAACATTATAAAAATTACTTTTTATTTTGACTAATTCCTCTTATCATTGCATTTTTTTTTGAATATCTACAATGTCATGTGTTAAATCATGATTCCATGTTTTAATCAAGAAAGAAAGATTTAATACCGGCACAAAAATATATTCCTTGAAAATAAATAATGAATTAAGGTCAGGGAGGAATAACAATTACTCTCTTGGTAAAGAAAGTTTAAGAGGCACAAACAACTTTACAAAATTATTTTTATTCTAACCTAATCTTTTTGCATTTTTCAAAAAGTAAATCTGAAGAGTTCAGATCCAACATAGTACATTTTGTAGTAATGATCTTAAAAATTTAAAATAACTTGACAACTTCTGACAATAACAAAAAATGAAAATTTTGAGAACTGCAATTTTACATATTAATATTTTTTTAAAAAAAGAAATCAATTGTATCTTCAAAATTATAAATTAATTAACTTTACATTCTCATATTCTATCATTGTAGTTATTAAAAATTAATCCACAAGATTATAGAAGTATATGTACATACTTTCTTAAGTAGCATGTCCATATCCATTAACTCCTTTCCTGCTTCTATTTTTAAAAATATTATAACCAATAAACACAATAAATTAACCTTACCAACAAAAAAAAAAGAGAGATAAATTTACCTAAATAAATAAAAACTTTGAAAAGTGTTATCAATATAGTATAATCAAATTCTCTAAGATTTACATAGAGGAGAAAAGAGAAAAATGAAATGATTTTTTAAAAAAAAATTCATGATTGGTATCTTCAAGAGCACATACAAATAATATTAAATGTATGATTTCAATAAAGAAAGAATTATAATTACATTGAACATATCAGATTATTTTATCTTGTAAACTCGAATTATGCAAGGATATCTAATCAAAATGCTCCTCCTATAATCTGCAAAATATGATAAAAAAAGTTTTAAAAAATTATCCATCAAAAGAAGCAAAAGATGAAGAATAAGGAGAAAACTGCATTTAATCATAAGCCCTCGTACATATATAATCATTTTTTATGAAACATAAGTAGTAAAAAAAAGAACCTAATACAACGAAAACTTTACTTCTTAATCACCTAAAAAAATAGAGGATAACTAACCTGAATAATTCAAAATCCATTACTTTTCGTTTGGCTAATTTCACACCTATATGTAAGAGTCAAGGAAAATAAAAAATAAATTATTAATCCTAAAATGAATCTTCATTTTTGTGGTTACAGTAAAGAGAATCCGAAGGATAATAAACCAAATAATTTATCCAGAAGAAAGCAAAAATATACTTTGACAAATTAAGCTTGCTAATTAAAAATAATATATGAAATTATAATTGCAAAAGATAATTACCTTAAAGCTTAAACTACACTAACATGCCTCCCGGCTCCCACTAATTCTTCAACCGAGGCAATGACTCTAAAATAAACAAAATTTTAGTGTGATTTTATAGTGTTATAAACTTGTACATTAAATAGTAGTTGGAGGTTATGAATATGAAAGGTTTGATAGTTATGAATATTATTAATACTAATTAGGAATATAATTCATGCAATTGAAGAGGTATGAATTAAGATGATTTTGCAAGAAAAAATAATTGAAAGAAATGAGAAAAAAAAAGGAGGAAAAAAATAAATATGAATGGAGGCCATAGAAAGGTGCCACATCACCTTCTCTACGTTCCTCCTTTATATATATATATATATATGTATATATATATATATATATATATATATATGTAGATTGGCATATGTGGATTGCATTTATGTGATGATAATCAATCCACATATGTCAATCTATGTGATTATCTTTTTTTTTTCTTTAAATAATTTGGGTAGAGATTACAATGTGAGATCCCAACTCTAAAAAAACAAGGTGGGAGGTAGCCAACCAACTAAGCTACTAATTAAGATTCTTCGATGTGTTTATTATCTCAGTTGAGTCATCATAGTTTAATTTGTTCAACAATATCCTATTCTTTTAATTTTATGTGAGTCATGTATGCGATTTTAAGCCTTGTAAAAGATTGTGGAAAAGAGAATTTCTTTAAAGCGTATAAAGATAATGATTATCGATAATATATAAAATCGAGAAGTAATTGTGAGAATTTGGTATAATCCTTTTATATACTCTCTCCTGCCCTAATTTATGTGACACAATTTGAATTGATTTAAAATTTTAGAAAAAAAGAAAAACTTTTAGACATTTATGATCTAAAATTTAATTAAAAGGGAATTATAAGTTAAATTGTTTTCAATTATAGAAAGGTTCTTTTGAGGTTGACTAAATAGGGATCCGGCTCCTCTCCATTTCCCTTCTCTCCATTTTCTCCAAGTTCTTGCTTAGATGTGAGACACATGGCATAGATAAAAATTAATGGTTAAGATTTAATTGATTAAAATAAGATTCTAATTATGATTTAGATAATTAATATTTTCATAAGAAAAATAATAATAACATAATCATAAGTCATAACAATATAATATCTTGTCCATAAATATATTATAAAAAAAATTCTCTTTTCTATTTTTTTTTTAAAAATTGAGTAAGTGTTAGATAGCAACTTTGAATTTTCTCTTTAAAACTGGTTAACATATAATTAATAACAAAAATAATCGCACAGAAAAAAAATTAGAAAAAGAGAAATTATTTTATAATATATTTATGGACAAAAAGAGAAGATAATACTAGAAAGAAAAATATTAGAAAAAGGGAATTTTTTTAATAATATATTTATGGAAAAGATAATATATTGTTATGATTGTGGTATTGTCATTTTTCTTATGAATTATTAATTATCTAAATTATAATTAGAATCTTATTTTAATTCAATTAAATCTTAACCGTTAAATTTTACCTATGCCATGTGTCTCACATTCAAGCAAGAACTTGAGAAAAATGAAGGGAAGAGAAATGGAGTGGATCCCGATCCACTAAATAGATAATTGCGTCACATAAATTAGGAAGTTGTATATGTTTTATCTTCTTCCTAATTTTGGAAAAGTATCAACAATAATTACTTCCTAAGTATATTTTTTTTTAAAAGTGAGTCAATTGGGATGACTCAAATGCAACTTCATGAAATATCCAGTTTATGCATTACGATCGTCATTGTTCTTAATAAAAAATAATTTTAGAAAAATCTTATATGGCTAAAATTCTTGTGAACAAGTAAGATATATGTCGATATATTTCATATGTGAAGTTGAATGTTTTATAATTTGAAAAAAAAAGATGATTTTTTTTAATGATTAATTATTTTACAACAAAGTGTTCAATCCATAATAAGAAGGAAATATATATGTATTTAGGAAAAAATGTTATGATCGAAGTATGTAAAAGGGTAATATAAATTGATGATAAGCTTATACAATCATTCATTTGAATTTCTTGAGTTGCGCATGACAATGCCAAATTTTGTGTACTTTATTTTATAAATTTAGTAAAATATTTTAACCCAGAATGTCCATATATCACTAAAAGCTAAACTTCCAGATATATTTTTAATCACATTAATATTTCTTCATCTTATATCCATTTTCTTCCACTACGTAATGTTTTACACTGTGAGTTTCTCAATTTTTTTTAATCTTTTACATGATTTTTTAATTCTTCTTTTTAATATAATTGTTTTTTCAAGTTTAATAGGTTTCTTCGCGATCGAATTTCCTAGTTTATATATAAATACTAAAAAGTCATTTTTACATTTATGTGATGATAAACAATCCACATATGCCAAATTCATCTTCCATATTAGTTTCGGTACAAATTTGAGGATAAATTTATGCCTATTCCCATAATTCAACAATCTGCCTAATTAGTTAGGCTACACTTAGCACTAGCTCTCACAATCCATTTAATTTATATGGCACCTTCATTGTAAGACTCCCTCTATAAATAATGTAAAGAATATTTTAGTTTCTATAACATATAAATAAATACTATTTGTTTAATTGCTAAATGACAATGCTTCACCTTCAAAATCTTTTTTCCCTTAATACAAGGGTACCAACAACTAAGTTGTTTTCTAAAAATAGTACTCATTTCTCTAGCAAATTTTCATACAAAGTTAGATCAATGAAGACTAGTCACTTAACATTAGGAATTGATCATGGCATTCACTCATCTTCTTCTTTTATTAAAGCATTGAGTGATCATCAAGGAGATGTTTTAGCTAAAAATGGAGTAGGGATTGTTGACTTTTTTGAAGCCAAAAATCTTCTTGTCACTGGTGCTACAGGATTTCTTGCAAAAGGTAATTTCAATAATTAGCATTTACAAAATGTGTGTTAAATTATGGTTGGGCGGTGAGGTACATAGGCATGTCACGTGGCAAGGGCGTATCCAGGATTTTGAGATGATGGGTGCGCTGTTATAAAAAGGTTGATCTATGATATAAATTTGATCGATTCGACACTTAGATTTTTACTACTGAAAACAGTTAAATTTTTAAAATTATAGGTCTAAAATTAATTCTTATATATATATATATATATATAAAAATATATATGTATACCAATTACCAGAGAAGTGCTATCTAATTTTAGAAAGAAAAATAAAACAAGATAAATATAAATTTCAAATGTCTAACCTCGCGGAGAGAGGTGCACCCAGTCACAATCACATTATGTTATACTTTAAGTGTGGGTTCACACATCTATATTTCAATATTTTTT